GATTAAGTGATTTACCCAAAGTCACAAATATAGCAAATCAAGGAGATTTCATATTCCAAGTCATATTCTTTGACAGGAAGAAAAAGGAGCTTTTGGAGTTAGACAAAACATCTTGATCAGAAACATGAAAGAAGAAGGATTTTTCTTCTTAGAATTTCTAGCTAAACTCCTCCATTTGGGGTTAAGATTCAGAGAGTGGTACTTGAAAGGGATCTGGGATCTCAGAACAAAGGGGAACAGCACCCTATGACTTCAATACTTCTTTTCTGGAGGATTCATTTGGGGGAAGACATGGGAAAATCTCCATGCCCTGAGAATAGCATGACAAAATCAGTAGAATGAAAGGGTATAACTTCTGCTATAGCAGACATCTCTAAGGACCTATGTCAACAGGCAGATCCATGACAAGATTCCTATCCTGCCCCCAATATCTCAGAAATGCATTCTAGAACTCTGGCATAAATTCTGGGAAAGGAATACCTTAGGGACTCCAAATAAATCATCTTGCTGTACTAGAAGGATAGAGCTTCAAAATGCAAATTGTTTCAAGTTACAGGAAATAAAATCATATATTTTTGCAACCCAATTTTGAAGCCTTTGAGTTATGGACTTTACTTAAAATCCAACAAGTGTTAGTTGTTGTTGTAATCATCTCTTATAAAATAAGGTAAAATGTAATAACACTTTCTGTAGTTGACGGTTAGTTCTCCACCAAAATGTGTGTTCCCTGCACTGTGATAGGGTATTTACCAGAAAGCAGCTGCCCAGCAGGAGATTACATTTCCCAGAACCCCTTGCATTAGGTAGACCCATGTGATCAGTTCCCACCCAATGAACAGAGGTGATGCGTGTCCTTTCTGGACCTAAGTATCTTCTCTCTATTTTTTCTTCCCTCATTTACTATCTAAATCGCAAAGGAGGGGCGCCTGGGTGGCTCAGATGGTTGAGCATCTGCCTTTGGCTCAGGTCATGATCCCAGGGTCCTTGGATCGAGTCCTGCATCGAGCCTGCTTCTCCCTCTGCTTCTCTCTCTCTGTCTCTCTCTCTCTGTCACTCATGAATAAATAAATAAAATCTTTAAAAATAAATAAATAAATAAATAAATCGCAAAGGGCACTGAGGACCTGGTGAAGCAGAAACACAAAATGAAAGGAAACTGAACTCCTGAATGTCACCTGGAAGGCCATCTCTGACCGGGAAGACCAGCATTAGACCATTATGAGAGCAACAAATAAATGTGTCTTGTGTTGAACCACTGATGTTTGTAACCACTGTTACATCAGTTAGTATTACCTCAATTAATACAAGATCATCCCCACGAATTAAAAAAAAAAAAAAAACCTGAGTCAAGCAAGAAGCAGTGTCTAGGTTTTAAGAAACCTAGACACTGAAAAAAATAATTTCTCTTGTGGCAACATGTAGAATTGATGCTAGATTAATTAGAGGTTTCTGGGGTAGAAATCTCCCTAAAATAGCATTGCAGAAAGGTGTGTGTTAAGGAATCTAAGTAGAGAATCTTTCGGTTTAACAGAAAGTCCCCAAGTTTCATACAGAAGAAGAATCACCTAGTTAGATAGGGATCTAAGTAGTAGCCAGATGTCATAGCCTGTTTCTGCCCCAAACCCTCCTTGATGCTAGAAGATCTCCTTTGTTTTCCACCCTTAGCTTTGCTGTTGGAAAGTGTTAATGAGCTTGCTTTTCTCAAACAGTTGTGAATTGCATGGATTCTATTTCCTAATGAGTCTAATGTCACTTGTTATTTTCACATAAAAAGAGTTGTGAGTGGCTTCTGAAGCTGACATGAACTTATCCTTCACAAGCCCACAAAAACTGCAAACTGTCATTAGAAATTTGATTTGGCTGTTCCTGTGAAAGAAAACCTCCTGAGCACAATGATGTCCTTGACTCAACATTTTCTTTGCCATAAACTTACCTTCAACAGGAACAACTGACATTTTTTAGAGCCACATCCCAAAGGATACAGTCCCAAAGGACTTCAACGACTCACTTTAAGTCATTAACATGGTTTAGAGACAACTTTACTTTTCTTTTTGCCATTAAAAAACTCATCAGAGATAATGGTTGCAGTTTAGAGAGTTTCCATAGAGGAAGATCACAGTGAGACCATATTCCAAAAAGCTACCACATTGGATGCTCAAGATCTTCAGTGGACTGATTCCAGTGATAGCTGCAAATTCTTCATTAAGTTGAATGAAATATTACTGAGACCATCAGTAGAGGAATGAATAAGTAAATCTATGATATATTGGCACAATGGAATGTTATACAGCAATGAGAATGGACAAACGCCAATTACATCTGACCACATGTACAAATTTCACAAATATAATATTGAGCAAAAGCCACCAGAACAAAACAATACATACAAACAATACTTTTAAAAAGTTTATTTTTTTTTAAAGATTTTGTTTATTTGATAGAGAGAGACACAGCAAGAGAGGGAACACAAGCAGGGGGCAGTGAGAGAGGGAGAAGCAGGCTTCCCGCGGAGCAGGGAGCCCGATGCAGGGCTCGATCCCAGGACCCTGAGACCATGACCTGAGCCAAAGGCAGATACTTAACCGACTGAGCCACCCAGGCTCCCCTATATATTTTTTTTTAATGAACAGTTTCTAATGCTAGATTTTTAAAAATCTTTCCATTTGACTGTACTGATACTGCAAAAAACATTGTGATGAACCCCATTCAATCCCTCTGCCTGCTGATCCCCCTGCTTGTGCTTTCTCTCTCCCTCTCTCTCTCTGTCAAATAAATAATAAAATCTTTTTAAAAAAATAAGTTTACCAGAAAAGGAACTACTATGGCTTTCTGGAAGATAAATTAAAGTCTGTGTGGAGGGGTGCCTGGGTGGCTCAGTCGTTAAGCATCTGCCTTTGGCTCAGGTCATGATCCCAGGGTCCTGGGATCGAGTCCCACATCGGGCTCCCTGCTCCACGGGACGCCCGCTTCTCCCTCTCCCACTCTCCCTGCTTGTGTTTTTTATCATAAGCAAATGTACACACTTTAAAGCATGGGCTAAGTTTCAGATGTGGTCTGTCCTTCGTAGATAATATACGGAAGCAAAAGCAGACCTTGCCTGATGCTGTTAAGCAGTCATGATTGTTACTTGCTCAAAAGAATCACTATTGCAATTAAAACCTCATCTCCAACACAACGGGAATGGGAGTTAACCAAGGCTTGGACCTCAACCCATGGTCTCTCCACTGTGTCTCCTGCTTGACTCTGTCCTAGTGACACAAAGAAGTCACAGTCAATACGTGTAAACCTAACACTTTAAAGTTGTGCCTTGTCACCACCAGCAGCATCTCTACCAACCACTCTGGTCTGTAGTCACATCCCCTTGCTTTTGTGACTACAGGTTCCGGTTATGATTGCTGGTAGTGTTGCTATATAACAAATTACCCCAGAACACGGCAGCTTCCTTTTTTTTTTTTTTTGCTCTTGGTTTTCTGGGTCAGAAATTTGAGAATGGCCCAGCTGGACAGTGATCTCTGGGGGTCTCTCATGCAATTGCAATCACATGTCGGCTGGGCTACAGTCACCGGGAGGCTCAACTGGGCTGGACATCCAAATTGGTTCACCAGGTATGGCTGGCAGGTAGTGTGGACTATCAGCTGGGCTCAGCTGGTGCTGACAACTGGAAGCGCTGACGACTGGAAGCACTGACTCGTGCTTCCCTGGCATGGTGATCTCAGGGTTGTTGGTTTTCTTACCCGTAAGGTGCCTGACTTCTAGCTTTCCCATAGTGAGCGTTCCCTGAGAACGCAGGAGACTGGCTAATATTGCCTCAGAAGTCACGTAGCTCGGCTTCTGTTGCATTCTATTTGCTATATGGGACACACAAGCCCACCCAGATTTGAGGAAAGCAGATTAGACCCCACCTTTCAATGGAAGGATAGCAAAGATATTTCGACTGTTTTCTAAAACTGCCATGCTCTGTGACCAATGTAATAACCAAATTAAATGTGATCGCCTTCCTTATACTGATGTTCTCTGGGGTCTTCACCTATAATGTTACAAGTAGTCATAGAAATGCAAATCTAATCAAATGGCTTGGCTAGATTTATTATCGCAGAAGCCTCAAGAGGCTCCCATCTAATGAAAACAGATATCTGGGGCACCTGGGTGGCTCAGCTGGTTAAGCGTTTGCCTTTGGCTCAGGTCATGATCCCAGGGTCCTGGGATCGAGCCCCGCATTGGGCTCCCTGCTCAAGCGGGGAGCCTGCTTCTCCCTCTCCCTGTGCCCCTCCCCCCACCTGCTCTCTCTCTCTCTCTCTCAAATAAATAAATAAAATCTTTAAAAAAAACAGATTTCTGTGCATCTTGACCCTCTAATTTTGTAGGAGAAGCATTGTTTTCCCACCTGCTCCACGTGAAGATACTGAAAGCTAGCAGGACTTGCAGTCACTTAGCTGTGTGAGTTTCAGGGCTAAACATTGAACATTCATTGACTCTAAGTCTGATATCTGCAACTATGACTCTGAGAGGTGAGAGCTTAAATGAACTTCAGTCATGTCAGTGACATATTCTGCATCAAGTACCTGGACCGTTGGAGATGAGTATATCTTACATCCTAGAATTGTATCCTGAGATGTTCTGACCCACTTGTTTAGGCTGAGCATTGTACCAGTGCCAACTGAAAGGAGTATTTGCTGTTCTTCTGGGCAAAGAAAATGGAATCAACCATCTTTAGATTCCCAGAACTGCAGAAAAACCATGCACCAGAAGGGAAGGAAATTTTATTCTGGGGATAGCATGTTTTTATCAATCGCCTGGCTGAAGGAATTGAGGATTAATAAGGATTAAAATGGCAAGCAAAATGAAACTAGATGGAGTTCCTAAGGGCTCAAGGGACCAGACTAGAATTCAGTATGATCCTCAGCAAATTAAAAAGGCAGCTTGTTAGAAAGGAGATAAAACACGGGGGCCGGGGCGGGGGGGGGACAAACGTAGGATGGCTCATCCCAGTGAAAATCCACATGTCTAGACAGGTAAGTAAGACTGGCTGGACCACAACGAGAGTAGACACTCATACCCAAGCCAGTGAGCATCATGTCAGTGATGTTTATTCCAGCTAGGGAGCTTATGAGCATGACTACAAAGTATTACCTCAGTATGTAGCAGCTATCTCGGACCTCCCCCCCCCACAAGATCACCTCTCCTTGTAATAAACACTCAAATTTCCTTTGTCTTTTCTTTAGTGACCTTTATCACTATGGCAATTTTTAAAATTTTGGTGTGATTATTTGACAAATATCATCCTCCTACAAATGGTCAGTTCCATGAAAGCAAGTTCTGGATCTGGTTCTATTATACATGTCATGCTTGTCACAACACCTCATTTATAGCTACTGTCCTCTCGATGTGTATTGAATGAATAAATTAATACTAGGATGAGTATAATGTAAACCATGGGTCAGCATCGCCAAATGTGGCCTGCTACTTGTTTCTGTATGGTCTGTGAGCTAAGAATGGTTTTCACTTTTTTAATGGTTAAAAAAAATCAAAAGAAGAATAGTATTTGGTGACATGAAGATATATGAAATTCATGTTTCAGTGTCCACAAAGAAGGTTTCCTTGGAACACAACCATGCTCATTCACTTACATAGTGTCTGTGTAATAATGTAACTTTTGTGCTTTAGTGATTTCATGCTAAAATGATAGCATTGAGTACATAACAGAGACTAAATGGTCCACAAAGTCTAAAATATTCACTACCTGGCCCTTTACAGAAAAAGTTTGCTGACCTCCTTGATAAAATCTGGCTTTTATCATTCCTGGGCTCCCATACATGGGGGACATATTCCTAAGCTTTGGCTGAAAACAATGGGAAAAGTGACTTTTGTGGACCCTACGCTGAAACATACAAAATAGTGATTCTGTTTTCTAATAGGACGAAGGTTATAAAAAAGGAACTGCCCTGTTCTCCAGAATTAGGGGAACAATGATTGACTGAATCAATAAATATTAAGATAAGAATCATGTAGAGCAGGGTTTGGCAAGCCTATGAGTTTTAGAGTCATGTAGAGCTGGGTTCACATCCTCTAGACATGAAATCTAAGGCAATATAATCCTCTAAGCTTCAACTAACCTTCCTGTAAAATGGGAATAAAATTCTCTTCCTTGGAGGATACTGTGGGGATTAAATTAGATATGATAGACACCTTTTGGGTGTGTTTGCCCATCCAGAAATCCTTTCTCTTAGACCCTTTCCCCCAACTGCAGGGGCAACCTGTGCAGGTCTGTCCACAGACCTGGCCTCCCCTCCTCTGGCCACAACTGACTGGACAAAGCAGGGACACCTGATGCAAAGTCTGTTGTGGGCCAACTGGATCTTCCCCCCTGAAATATTGAAAATGGAATATGGAAACTCTAGTTAGCGCATGCAAGGCTCTTGGATTTGAGCCACCTGTTTGGACCACAAGCAAAGGTGGGAGAAACTGGTTTGCAGACTGAGCATAATGAACACATGGCATGATATTTTATGTGGAGAGAGTGAAAGCAATCCCGCTCTGTTGGTACAGAGCCCTCCTGGACCTATTCTTCATGGCAGCCGGCATTCCCCGCTCATGAGTACAGGTCTAAAGTCCTGCCCACGGAGTCACCCCACCTCTGCTTCCAAGCTGCATACACACCCCACCCAGTCCCTCAAACATCCACACCCTGTAATGGATAAGTCACAGAGACAGGGGAGATAAAGGATCCCTTGTCTTCCACTGTATGGGCTAAGCAATTGCTGCAGATTCCTTTTCTTTGGAATCCTCCAGCATCAGAGGATGAGACTGGGAAAGAAAACAACCACACACAGAATGGGCAACCCCATTCCTGCTAAACCAGAACTTTGGAACCTGAACATCAAGACGAGCAAGTCTCAGGAAGTGTTGTTGGGAACATATTGTTAAAAATGGAGCTTCAGCTCGAAGTTGATCTAACAACTCCCTGGCTGTGTATCAGACACTCGAGTCTTTCTGGAGGCTTTGCAAGAGTGGGATATGGGCAGGAATATAGAAGATAGAAAAGAAACGAGGGGCCCCAAGATTTCTTTTGCTACAGATTTGTAGAGAAACACATGACAGCTTAGGAAAGCCCCTAATGCCAACAACTTTCCATTTCCAAGTTTCATTCCCTTGGGTTCAACCTCATTACCTTTGTGCACTTCGTTCAGGGAGATAATCCTGCTTTTTAAAACTAGTTCCAATGGACTTCAGTCTCTTGTCACAAACATGCCCTAACTGAAACAAAATGTAAAGTTCCTGGCGCCTAATTGTTGTTTAACAATGTAACGGTTGCTGTTACTATTACTTTAAAAATTAGTATGAATTGACACTGTTGCTGTGGTAGCCAATGGTCATAGTTTTTATCGATGCATGCTGCAGTACGTAGGCATGAAATGACACTTCTGGGATTTGCTTTAGAATAGTTTCACAGGGGCGCCTGGGTGGCTCAGTCGGTTAAGCGTCTGCCTTCGGCTCAGGTCATGATCCCAGGGTCCTGGGATCGAGCCCCACATTGGGCTCCCTGCTCAGCGGGAAGCCTGCTTCTCCCTCTCCCACTCCCCCTGCTTGTGTTCCCTCTCTCGCTGTGTCTCTCTCTGTCAAATAAATAAATAAAATCTTTAAAAAGAAGAAGAAGAGGGGCACCTGGGTGGCTCAGTCGTTGAACGTCTGCCTTCGGCTCAGGTCATGATCCCAGGGTCCTGGGATCGAGCCCCGCATCGGGCTCCCTGCTCGGCGGGAAGCCTGCTTCTCCTTCTCCCACTCCCCCTGCTTGTATTCCCTCTATCGCTCTCTGTCAAATAAATAAATAAAATCTTTAAAAAAAGAAGAAGAAGAAGAAGAAGAAGAAGAAGAAGAAGAAGAAGAAGAAGAAGAAGAAGAAGAAGAAGAAGAAATAAATAGATAAAGCAAGTGTGGCAAAATCTTGGTAATTGTTGAATCTGGGGGTGGGTATATGGGAGTTGATTGTATGATTCATGCTACCTTGTATATTTTAGAAAACTTCATAAGAAGAAGATGATGTGAAAATTGTTTTTCAGAGTTAAAATAATTAGGTTTTAATCATGTTAAGTTGCTTAGACAAAGGCTCTAAAACACCAGTTCATCATGCATGCTCTAAAGAAAGTGTCCGGACGCTTGATTCGTTGAAAGCTAAAAGGAGACCTATCTTGGATGATGTGGAAAGGCCCAGAGACAGGGAAATGGACCAAATGACACTTTAAGATCCATCCCTGCCCCCAACACACATGTACACACTTCTCAGCTGTAGTATACTATATTGGAAATTGAAGGGTTTCCCCAAAAACAAAAGGCAAGGGATTCTCCTTTCTAGGGGTACTTAGGAAGCCATTGATAATCCAGAATGTGTCAAAGAACTGCAGTATTTTCTTAGCTCCCAAAGTGGGAGACAGAATCACATTACTGATTTCTTCTGTATCCATACAGGATGCTAATGGAAATGAGAGATACAGCATCTGTGTTTTCGAGTATTCTGTTCTGCAGCGGATAAATCGGCCCCTGGAAACTCTCTGTGCTGCCCTGGTTGCCTTCCTCCCACAAGTACAACCAACTCCCTCCGAGCCGTGGTTAATGAAGTCCAGCCGCTCAACGAGCTGGGGTTTTCCCAGTTTGGAAAAGTGTGAGAAATGAAGGCCAGATATGGCCCAGCCTAAGCACGAGTAACACTTTTCAGCGGTAGATTTGGGGCCAAGAAAGGAAAATGTGGAAAGAAGGAGGCAGAGAACAAAGGTGAAGCAAACGGAGGACATAAACCCTCTCCAGAGGATTGTGTTCCCTTTACTGAAAGTCATTCTAAAGAAAGGGGCAGGGCAGGAGCTGGCAAGAATCTGGCCTATGCAAGGTTCTCCACAAATTCTTTCATTCATTAGAAAAGACCTTAGGAAAAAATGCTGAGTTGGTGTTTACTATGAGCTCCGTGCTGAGAAATCCAGCTCTGAATGAAATGGACAGAGGTCCTTGACCTCCTGTAACATAGGGTCTGTTGGGATGCCTGCAGATGAAAGTACAATTGCTAAGTGATAGATAAGCAGAACAGCACTGATCTAGAGGAGTTCTGGGCTTCTTTAAGTGTCTTGTGCCCAGAGGCACTGTGTGGCAGGTGAGCATGGTAACTAGGAATTCAGGCTCTAGACAGAGACTGTGTTCAAATCCTGGGTCTGCCTCTCCCTACCCGGGTGACCCTAGGCTGGTTATGTAACCTCTCTGTTGCTCTGTTCAGTGATGATAACGATAAAGTGACTATGAGATACAGCCCAGCCCAGCCCCATGCCCCAGGAAGCTGATCTCTTATGACTATACCACCCCCTTCTCTTGCCTCTGGCTTCTGATTGGATTTGACCTATGGGAAGCACATCCAGGAGATTGGAAGTCCCAAAGGTTTGGCAGTTGCCAACTTCTCCTCCCTGGCAGCCCTCCTAGAACCCTCTCAAGCTATAAAACCCCACCTCCTTCAGGCCAGTCAGCAGTAAAGGCTGTTTCTAGCAGGGCAACTTCCACTGTTTTCTCCCCCCCAAATAATCCCTTCACTAAACATCCTTCAACTACCCATTTTGAATATACCATGTGTATTTACACCTTAAACATACACCTTAAAACAATGCCTGGCCCTAAATAAGCACTCAGTAAGCAGAAGCTGATGTGATCCAAGTAAGACTTTGGTTTTGATTTGTGCCATTTCACAGAAAATATCTATGACCCCCTCCCGCAAGCTGAAAACATATTGGAGTGGGGAGTAGCCCAACTTTCCCCAAAAGTTTTAAGAACACATCAAAAGAGGATAAGAAAGTTAGGACTCTGCAAAATGCTAATGTAAAGTGGCCATATGTGTGTGAAGCAATCATAATTTTGATTCCCTGGTGGCCTTTGCCTTGTGTCCAAAGGTCACAGTGTCATCATAAGAGATAATAATGCTGTAGGCCCTTTGACGATGATGAGAAAGGGGAGATTTTCCAGCAAGAGAGGCCCTGCCAAATTTGAAATCATTTTTTACCCACTTAAGACAGAAACTATCCTCTCTGGGTTCCTCGTGATCTAATCCTTTAAGCCTTCTGCTGGCACCGGGAACAATGTTAAGCTTCAGGATCAGGCCCTTTGGTTTTTATAATCCATGGGAATTTGAAGATGATAAATCTGTGGAGAGCCTGAAAGTTCCTAACATGTAATTGGAACCCAAGGGGGAAATAATTAAGATAGAGTCATGTAACTCCATCAACTCTTCTCCAAGCCTCTGAATTATATAAGTCCCTAGCTGTAGCATCCCCTGTCTGCCCCATTCTGCCGTGAAACAAGAAAAAAGGCAGAGACAATGAAAGACAATGACAAGAAAGATCTGTCCAATGTGACTACTAATTAGCATCTGCTATGAGAGGTCTGGTGGGGAAAGAAGTCCAAACACAAGCAAGAGGCAGGAATCAGCCTTTGACCGAACTTACTCAGTCCTCCCCAGCCACCCCCCTCCCGCCCCCACTCGGCCACACTTGCCAAAGATAATTGACAGCTTCATATAACAAAGAGCACATCTGATCTATTCTTATTAATAAGATTGGTGGGGGCAGGTTAGTTCTAACTTACGATGGCCAAGGCTTCATATCCAAAGTAAGATGAACCAGAAGTTGCTTTCATTTCAGCTCTCACTGTCCCCGCAAGTAGGAGCATCCCCATGAAATGGGGTGCTCCAGCCGCAGCAATGAAAGGTTTAGCAAAACCTCAGAAAATGAATCCGTATTTCTCTAGTTGTCAGAGGTGCTAACCTCAATTTGCCATCAAACCCGTGCCAGGAAGAGAGTCTGTGAAGAGCTGGGTGGGCACCAAAGCACAAGCCGGGAGCACCCCTACGGAGTCGGTGGCAGGGAGTGTCGGCTGGTCTCAGAAATGGGGGACATTCCCTCCACCTTGGCCCGTGCTTGCATTCTGCTTCATCTCCTCTTCCCTCGCCTACAGTCTGATGAGACATTATCTGACTCACTTTCATTCCTACAGATTTGGTAGGAGCCTACAGTAAGCCAGAAAGGAAAGATCATTGAGAACCACCCCTGACTTTCAAGCCCAAATAGCTTTGAATAATATCTGGCATAGAGTGTGTGCTTAAAAAAAATGTTTGCTGGACGTGAAGCCAGTGTGCAAGTTTTTGTTATGAAGCCGAACAACACATTGCTGGTGTAGCAGCTGGTTTGCCTTAACGAGCTGATCAGTATCCCTGTGGGCTTTTAAGCCATGACAATATCAGACTCAGCTATAAGCAGAGATGAAACAGGTAAATTCAGGTATATAGCACAATCTGAAGAACTATTGGGGCTGCCCTATTTCCAAGCCCTTGAAATTCCATGATTAGCAAATTACTTTGGGGGAAAATACTGCCCTCTGTAAAGTCCTAAAAAGGACTCCTCTGGGGAGCAGATCCCATAAGATCTCGTATTCTTACAGCACACTCTGGACTGTTCTGTTTGTCTTTTAATCCGCCGACTTAACTTTTAGAATTGTTTTTTGAGCCAGATATGATCTTTATTGGTAACCACTGTACAGATTAGGAAATTAAGGCCATGCCATCTTGACTTTGAGGAAAGTGGCTTTTTAGAAATTTGTCTCAAGCGGGTGCCTTGGTGGCTCAGTCAGTTAAGCGTCTGCCTTCAGCTCAGGTAATGATCCCAGAGTCCTGGGATTGAGCCCACAGTTGGGCTCCCTGCTCAGCGGAGAGCCTGCTTCTTCCTCTCCCTCTGCCCCTCCCCTGCTCATGCTCTCTCTCTCTTTCTCTCTCTCTCAAATAAATAAGATATTTTAAACAAAAAAAGAAGAAGAAAAGAAATTTGACTCAGGCATTCCAGCACAGGTAACATTCAGAGTGTGGACTTATTTTGCAGAGCAGCTTCCTTCCTAACTGTAGAGGTTAGAGAGTGGGACACCCCAGGCCACCTGGATTGGGAGCCAGAAGTGGAGTCCATACAAGGACTCCAAAAGAACTTTTGCACTTCTGTCTATGGGGTGTTGTGAATAATTTAGTACATTATTCTTTCTTTCTTTCTTTTTTTTTAAGATTCTATTTATTTGACAGAGAGAGAGAGGGAGAGCACAAGCAGGGGGAATGAGAGAGGGAGAAGAAGACTCCATGCTGAGCAGGAAGCCTTACTCAGGGCTAGATCCCAGGACCCTGAGATCATAATCTAAGCTGAAGGCAGATGCTTAACCGACTGAGCCACCCAGGGCCACCTAGTAAATTATTCTTAAATGAAAAACAGAGGGCGCCTGGGTGGCTCAGTTGGTTAAGCGACTGCCTTCGGCTCAGGTCATGATCCTGGAGTCCCAGGATCGAGTCCCGCATCGGGCTCCCTGCTCAGTGAGGAGTCTGCTTCTCCCTCTGACCCTCCCCCTCTCATGCTCTCTCTATCTCATTCTCTCTCTCAAATAAATAAATAAAATCTTAAAAAAAAAAAAAAACAGAGCCTGGTCCTGGAGACCTAATACACAGTACAGTGATTAGACAACAAATTGTGTCTTTAAACACTGAACTTACAAAGAGACTAGATTTTAATTTTTCCCAATGCTCGAAAGAATGATGGTTTATGTGACCCTAGAAGGTGTTAGCTAACATTATCCGGCAATCATATTGCAACAAAAATGATCAAATCAGTGTCGTACACCTTGAACTTATGCAGTGTTGCACGTCAGATATAACACAGTAAAGAAAACAAAAGAGCCCAGACCCTGCAATAATAACAAATGGATCTTAAGAACACCTCACTTGGCAATGTCTGTGTGTTCTGACGGAAGTGCTACAAACACAGCTTTCTTTCCAACCAGTTGGCAGCAGGTTTCCGTGCTTGCAGTCTCATCAAGCACGGAATTGGGAGACCAATATTTGTGCTTTCTGCTTCCCTGCCACCTTGCAGACTGACTTTATCAACTGGCTTGATTGAATGTTCTGATCGAAAAGTTTCTGTGCAGAGCATGTGGCTACAACCTCACTTCCAAAACAGTTATCTACACTTAGGCAGAAACCAGAGGTCTAAGAAGGAAGAATTGAAAGAATTATGGTCAAGTGTAGGTTCTTGAAGTAATCTGTTAATCAACTTTAAGAGGAATACACGGCTGGAGGAGGCATATGGGTAACAGGCATTCCCTGGCTACCTTCCGCTCAGTAAGGGTTCATCTTTGGGTCTGTGCCTTCAAGTATCCTCACTATATTCCACCCCTTGGCTTCTGGTCTGGCTTGACCTGGGCTAGTCATTAGCTTCCTCTGTTGAAACTATACCTTCAACTTCCTCCACTTAGGGCTCCTTCCCCATCGCCTTCTTTCTAACACTTGCCTCAATCCAGCAATGACATTTCAGGGAAGTGCTACACCCCATCTGACCCAGATCTATCCCACTGTTCTCTTCACCTGGGGGCCAAGAAACAGTTCTCTGAAAAATATCTCTGAATTCAGTTGATGGATAACAGCCCCTGCTTCAATGATGAATAGATAGGAATGTCATGATGGGTGTCCTCTGGAACCCATTTCATTGACTCAACATCCCATAATGTGTTTACTCCATCCTAACATGTATTTGGGGATGGGTGTGGAAGATGTTCCCAGCTGTGCCTCCCCCTGCATAAACCTTCATTTTGCTTCTTTGCTCCTGCCAGGCAGAGGGGCACTAGGGAAAGAGAGGAGGACCAGGGGAACGAATACCATCATTTTGGGTTTTTTGGTTTTTTTTTTTTACCTTTCAATTCTTTTTGTCTTTCCCTCAGGACTTGAGATAGACTCTGCAGGTGGTAGAATATAAAGCCTCAATGTTAATTCATCTGAAACCCTGGGTACAAGGATATTTTCCCAAGTTACTTCCATTCTGGGTCTAGTCAAATAATTATCACAGCAGCTGTTTGCCCCCTCCCACGTACCCTCACCCCAACACTGAGTCATCTGCAGCTGCAGGGGGACCGTTCCTGACACTCCATCAGCTCCCCACCTGAAGCGGGTGCGTCTCTCTTTCAAACTGTTTGAGGGCTTTCTTCAGGGCCTCCGAAAATTGCTCAGCTCACCTACAATGCAGCCAGGAAGTTGGGGATTTAATGCCCCCAGCAGTAGCCCTCAACCAATGAGAACCTGAAATCAGTAGATAAACACCTCAGCTTCTTCATTTCCTAAGGTATCTTCATCAGGGTTCTCCAGAGAAACAGAACCAATAGGAGATACAGATACAGATATGTTTTTATGTTTATATATATGTTTATGTTTATATATATATGTATATGTTTATTATAAGGAACTGACTCATGCAATCATGGAGGCTAAGAAGTCCCACAATCTGCTGTCTGCATGCTAGAGAGCCAGGAGAGTCGGTGGTTTAATTCCTGTCTGAGTCTGAAGGCTTGAGAGTAAGTCTCAGTCGAGAGCAGAAGACTGCCTGCCGTCCCAGCTCACAGTCGGGCAAAGAATACAAATTCTCCCTTCCTCCGCCTATTTGTTCTATTCAGGTATGGATGGATGGGTAAGGCCCATCCACGATGGGCCAGGCAATCTGCTTCACTTGGTCTACTGATTTAAATGCTAATCCCTTCCAGAAGCACCCTCAGAGACATACCAGTAATCATATTTAACCAAAAATCTGGGCATCCTGTGGTCTAGTCACATTGATACATGAAATTAACCTTCACGGGGAACAAATCTGCAGCATGCTCTCTGCACCTGGGGCTAATGGTAGAAATCAGTTACTAGCTTTAAATTTTGCTAAATGGATACTGATGAACTCTAGATAGGAAACCAGCTCAACAACTGAAATCAAGTTTAATTCTACCAACCCACCATGTAGCATATAATTCTCAGTGTAGAACAGATTTTTAATAGTATTTTTCTTTACTTAGAAAAATTAGTTATGTATAAAAAGTCAGGTTTCTCTGGTGTTAATGCTCCATAACAAACATGTCCAAAATTTTAGTGGTTTAAAACAACAAACATTGATTTTACAATCACAGGTCTGCTGGTTGGCTGTGGTTTGGCCATTTTCAGCTGGGCTGAGCTGAGCTAGACTGGACCCCAATTTGTGAATCAGCTTTAGATCTGCTCTTCTCTTTCTCCTTCTTCTCCTCCTCCTCCTCCTCTTTCTTCCCTTCTTCTGCTTCTTCTTCTTCTTCTTCTTCTTCTTCTTCTTCTTCTTCTTAAGATTTTATTTCTTTACTTGAAAGAGAGAGAGAACACAGGGGAAGAGGGAGCAGCAGACTCCCTGCAGAGCAGAGACTCCAACAGGATCCCAGGACCCCGAGACCACAACCCAAACTGAAGGCAGACACTTCACCGACGGAGCCACCCAGGCACCCCTGTACATTCTTCTTTACAGGACTTATGGTTGAAGGCACAACAGTACGCAGGGCACCCTCTTCTCATGACAGATGGTGAGAATGTAAGAGGCCAAAGCAAACCATGCAAAAAATGCTAGTACATTTAAAGGCCCTGCTCAGACATCCATGTCAAGTCTGCTCACATGCCATTGGCCGAAGAATGTCCTTGGGCTGAGTGCAGTATCTGAGGAGAAGGGACATGTACTATGCCTAGCAGAGTGGGAAGTACTGCACAACAGCCAAGGGCAAGCATACGTAATCCTGTTACTTAAAAGGAATGAAAAATTGGAAATCTACCACAATATGGAAAATTTTAAACATAGCCAAAAGGAGACAGAATGTCATAATAATCCTTATCACGCAGCTACAACAGTCATCTCACTACTAATCTTATTCACTCCCCCTCACTCCTTCATTATTTTGAAGCAAATCCTGGATGAGTGTCTTTTAAGGGAAGAAAGTAAACCTATATTTTTGCAGGGTGTGGGACATTATTTAGATCTCAAAGAATTTACAAAACAATGAAACGGATTAACTAGTAAGTTAACTTGATATGAAGTAAAGCATAAGAACATATTCAACAACATTGAGAGTTAATTCCAAGATGCTGTCATGGGCACTTTACACTGAATATTGATGTATTTTATATTTAACTGCCTGGTCTAGCTAAAATAATGAATACCACCAAACTCTAAAAGTAAATGCCTACTCTTTAACTAGTTCATGAATCCTAGCAACAGATGAGGAGGAAGAAGAAAAGAAAATTTGAAATAACAGCATTTTAAGATGCAAACCAGTCACTTTATCTGTGCATGAGGATTGTATCACTTTGGCCAAAGCCTGGCTTCCTTGAGCTACTTTATTTCATCTATTGGAACATTTCATAATATGAGACTATTACAAAAATAAACTTCAAGTGAGTTACAAATGTCAAAGAAGCACAAAACTTCAATGAGTACAAAAATAAATATTTCAGAGTGTGTTTAATAAAAAGAAGCATCACATCAATTTATCAAACTATCACTTTTAACCCATATTTAAAATAACATCTTGGGGTGCCTGGGTGGCTCAGTTGGTTAAGCGTCCAACTCTTGAGTTTGGCTCAGGTCATGATCTCAGGGTGGTGAAATCGAGCCCCATGGCAGGCTCCACACTGGGCATGGAGCCTGCTTAAGATTCTCCATCCCTTTCCCTCTGCCCCTTCCCCTACCCTCAAATTAATTAATTAATTAATTAATTAATCAATATCTCAATTTCTGAAGTGGCCAATGGAAATATATTTTTAAAGTCCTGTGGGATTGCTCCACTGGTCAGGACCGTGTTGTAGCCGGCCCTGTCATCCCGTGCCCCATTATCTACATCCTTCACCTCTGCTGTGTGATACCATATGGGCCAGAGCATTTTATATGAGGTGGGTCCCTTGAACATTGAAAAGGCCTTAGGAGAAGGGAAGTAGCTGGAGATGGTGGTCTCTGTGATCAGAGGGAACCTGGAGACAGCGTCCAGTGCCCGAGTGAGCATTGCTGTGACTGGGGAACCTGGCAATGGCATGTGCTCCTTCATCAATGCACTGTGGGCAATTAGGCATGAGGAGGAAGCCTCGGCTCCCACTGGGGTGGTGAGGACCACCCAGAGTCACACTTGCTACTCCTTCTCCCACCTTCCCAATGTGTGGGACAACCTGCCCCCAGTACAAGGGCTGCTGCCCAAACCCTAGAGAACTATTAGAAGAAATGCCATTTAGCCAGTATGCCTCTTCATCATCATTGCAGCCACACATTCAGCATGAATCTCATGAAGCTCGCCAAAACCATCCAGGGCCTGGGAAAGAGGTTCTACATTGTCTGGACCAAGCTGGACAAGGGCCTCGGCACAAGTGCCCTCTGGGCGGAACAGGTCCTGCAGAATATCCAGAGAATATCCCAGAAACTCTCCAGAAGAAGTGGGTGTATGAACACATCATATTCCAGGTCTCTAGCTTTGACCCCTTATTGCATGACTTCCCAGAGCTTAAGGACACCTTGCACAGGGACCTCTCTGATATCTGGTGCCATGTCCCCTAGAAAACCTGTCCCACACCTGTGAGAAGATCATTAAAGACAAAACTACCTCCCTGCAGAACAGAATAGCTTTAGTGTTTTCAGGACAGCCTTGGTGTCCAGGATGAAGATGATGTGAAGCCGTGTCTGAATGCTACTGCTTGCTCTTTGTCATGGATGATGATTCTCTCTAGCAGGTGGCCCAGATTATGGGGGATGCCCATGGAAGAGTACAGGGCTGTCATGAAGTACCTGGATCTGTACGGTCTCCCTAAAGTGAATGGGAGACTGACTTGTTCAGTCATGAAGCATTTCTTAGCCTTCCTAGCTACATCAAATCCTTGAGTGACTATGTCATTCTCTGCTTTAAGGGGATGTAGCAAAAATGCTTCTTTGAGTTAGATACCAAGGAAAAGAAGACGATCCTGAGAAATCCTTCCTACCAGTGAAAACTGGCTTGGGAATGGGTCCAATCATAGGTCCCATAGGCTCATTCTCCAGTGGAAGTCAGGCTGCCTTGGGTCCTCTTCCCAGTAAGATACCTTGTTTCTCTACTAGAAATGAAGAGATTTAACCAAATACTTTCTTCTATTTCTAAAAGGGTTAGTTCCTTAAAAGGAATTTTTAAAATCCCCTATCTTCCTAGCCCCAATCATAATGCACTGTTCCTTCAAAGAATAAATATTTGTTAAAATCATTAAATAAGCTTTTTGGGTTCAGGAAAAAAAAAAACAAAAACGTCATGTGCATGATGACTCTATTAGTTTACTAGAGCTGCCATAACAAAGTACCACAGGCTGGGTGACTTCAATGACAGAAATGTATTATCTTACAATTCTGGAGGCTGGAAGTCCAAGATCAAGGTGTCAGCAGGTTTGGTTTATCTTGAGACCTCTCTGTTTGACTTGTAGATTGCTACGTCCTCACTACATCCTCACATGGCCTTTTCAATGTGCACCCACACCCCTGGTGTCTCTCCCTCCTTATAAGGACTCCAATCATATTGCACTAGGATCCCACCCTTATGACATCATTTAACCTTAATTATCTCTTTAAAGGTCCTATCTCTGTGTACGGTCACATTGGGGGATTAAGGCTTCAACATATGAATTGGGGGGGAGGGATATAATTCAGTCCATAACAATTACATCAGTCAGTCTTATTACAACCATTTAGAACCAATACCACTAGTAAAAAATGGTTAATTAGCTAATAATATAACAATAGGAATAGTTAATGTGTAGTAATAGAACACTCATTATGTGCCAAGAACTCTTCTGTACACTTTACAAGTATTAACTTATTTTTTAAAATCCTGCCATGTAGGTACTATCATGTCCCCCACTTTACAGATGAGAAAACTGAGGCACAGAGAGTTTAAATAAAAAAAGTAGAGGTAAGGTGGCCAGTTAAATGTAGGAATGCCCAGTGAAATTTGAATTTCAGATCCACACCAAGTAACTTTTTAGGGCATGTATGTTCCAAATACTGCATATGACATGCTTATACTTAAAAAAATCCATGTTATTGATCTGAAATTCAAATTTAACTGGGCATCTTATATTTTTATTTGCTAAATCTTGTAACCCTAATCACAGGCAAGATGCTTCTTCTCCTATACTGAAGCAGTGGATTTTAAATTCCATTCAAAAGTTCCTGGAACTCTCTGGAAATACAATACAAGGTTGCCGAGAGGGTGAAAGAGAAGATGAAGGGTCATATCCCCTCTTTCAAATACAGCAACTCGTTTTTAATCTCTTTTTTTATACTAAAATTTTCTATAAATATTCATTGAGGAAAAAAATATATTCCCTTGATTTATTTATTTATTTGATTTTTGAAGATTTTATATTTGATAGAGACACAGCAAGAGAAGGAACACCAGCAAGGGGAGTGGGAGAGGGAGAAGCAGTCTTCCCGCGGAACAGGGAGCCTGATGTAGGACTCGATCCCAGGACCCTGGGACATGACCTGAGCTGAAGGCAGACACTTAATGACTGAGCCACCCAGGCACCCCTATTCCCATAATTTAAAACATAAGTTTGCAGACGCGGAGGGGCGCCTGGGTGGCTCAGTTGGTTAAGCGACTGCCTTCGGCTCAGGTCATGATCCTGGAGTCCCTGGATCGAGTCCCGCATCGGGCTCCCTGCTCAGCAGGGAGTCTGCTTCTCCCTCTGACCCTCCTCCCTCTCGTGCTCTCTGTCTCTCATTCTCTCTGTCTCAAATAAATAAATAAAATCTTAAAAAAATAAATAAATAAAAATAAATAAAAAATAAAACATAAGTTTGCAAAGTCACTGTTTTTCTGGTAAAGCCAGCTAACTTTTGACATTTTGAGGTTTTTGTTGTTGTTGTTATTGTTTGGTTGGTTTGGCTTTGGGTCTTCATTTTTTTTGTCCAAAAACTTCTACCTTTGTCTTTTCCAACCTTGATATTCTCTAACTCTTTCTCCCTACAAAGAACCCACCAAGACTGGTGGACTCTGAAAGAAATGTTAGCAGCTTATAGCTGAGGCTGCCGCAGTTTGGTCAAGTTAAATTTGAGCACAACATCATCCACACTTTTACATAATATTCACAGCTGCTTTGGGGCCACAAAGGTAGAGCTGAAGAGCTGAGACAGAGGCCATATGGTCCAGAAAGACAAAAATATTTACTACCAAGCCCTTTACGAAAAACCTTTGCCAATCCCTAGTCAGTAAGAATCTGCTTCTGATGGCTCCTGGCATGGTTTAGAAGCAAGCAGTCCTGAAGATTGTTCTGAGTTTAGAAGAGGTAAGAGTAACTGGGCAGATTGATTTTCTGTAATAATTTTTAATTACTTTATGTCACTGGGAAAAATTGTCTCAGAAAATAGCATAGCTTTCAGAACAAGTGTTTCTGTTGAAAATGCGATCACATGGATTGTTGCTGGCAATGACCTGTAATTCTAGATAGATGAAATAGCAAAGTAAGCTTTTACTGGGACAAAGTCTATCAATATTTTCCACACTGTTTATGGCTCTTTTCAAAAATGAACTGTGAAGCAGAGACCTGATAATTTTTTAAAAATTTTTTATTGAGGCATAATTGACCGACAACCTTATATTAATTTCAGGTGTATAACATAATGATTCGGTATTTGAATTCATTACAAAATGATCACCACAGTAAGTCTAGTTAACACCCATCACCATACATAGTTACAGAATTTTTTTTTTTCTCATGATGACAAATTTTAAGATTTACTCTCTTGGCAACTTTTAAATATACAATACGGTATTGTTAACTACGGTCACCATGTGCACAGGATAGCCTCATGACTTATTTTATAACTAGAGACTTGTACCTTTTAACTCCCTTTATCCATTTCAGCCACCACCCACCCCCATCTCTGGCAACCATGTATCTGTTCTTTGTATCTATGAGCTTGGTTGTCCTGTTTTTAAGATTCCAAAGATAACTGAGATAATACGATATTTGTCTTTCTCTGTCTGACTTACTTCCTGCAACTTAATACCTCCAAGATCCATGCATGTTGTCACAAATGGCAGGATTTCATTCTTTTTTTTTTTATGGCTAAATAATGTTCCATTGTGTGAATATATATTATACCATATTTTATATACTCCTTACTGTTTTCCAAGTGGTTGCACCAATTTACATTCCCATCAACAGTGTACAGGGGCTCCTTTTTCTCCACATCCTTGCCAGCATTTAGGATTTTAGCCGTTCTAACAGATGTGAAGCGATATCTCATTGTGGTTTTAATTTGCATTTCCCCAATGATAAATGATGTTGAGCATCTTTTCATTTGTATGTCTGTTGGCCATTTGTATGTCTTCTTTGGAAAAATGTCTATTCTGATCCTCTGCCAATTTTTTATTCAGATTGTTTAGGTTTTTTTTGCTATTGAGTTGTATGAGTTCTTTATACATTTTGAATATTAAGTCCTTATCAGGTATATGATTTGCTGATATTTTCTCCCATTTAGTAGGTTGCCTTTTCATTTTGTTGATGATTCCCTTTGCTGCACAGAAGTTTTTTATATTTAGGTTGATGAAGGCCACTTGTTTATTTTTGCTTTTGTTGCCTTTGCTTTTGGTAACAAATCCAAAAAACTCATTGCCAAGACCAGCGTCAAGGAGTTTACCACCTATGTTTCCTTTTAGTTTTATAGTTGCAGGTTTTACATGCAAGTTTTTAATCCATTTTGAGTTAATCTTGGCATATGGTGTGAGATAGTGGTCCAGAGAAACCCGATAATTTTTTCTCTGATTCCAGATCACTCTGTGTCAGTTCTCCAACAAATCACAATAGTCAGCAACATTAAAATTCCAGACAAGGCGCTCAAGGCCACTGGATGCTTACAATAATCTAAAAGGGTTTAGGTTGATAATCCCAGGATTAGCATTGGAAATTTTAATAGAGTTGCGTGTCTTTGAAGTCACATCTTAGCAACACCCCAGTCTTCTTTCATGGAAAGTTTTCCATAAACACATTATCCACCGCTTGACCCTGGAGAACAGAGTTCATCATTTGCTGCTTCATTTAGCATTTTAAACAGTTATTTTCTGTAGCTTCCCAGATTCGTCCTGCATAATCAATAGCCATAATTATTCTAGGGCCATGAGGAACTCAGGGAGAATAAAACCTCCTAGAAAAATATTCTTCTCTGAAGTTGAACTCTATACTCAATACTATAAAAATCAGATGTCTGATCTAGCTGGTATGTTTATCAATGATATTACCTTTTCTTGTCTTTTACTTATTTACACTTTCTTGTCATGTTGATTATTTGTGATTAAAAGAAGTTAGAGTGTCCAAACAAATTAAGAAAATATTCTAAAAGAAGGATGCCATGATATAATTTAATTTAGAAACTATATGAAAAGATAGATATCTTGTAAAGTCATAGAAACATCCTTTTTTTTTTCTATTCCTCTTAACTTTCCGAAGCATATATTTTAACAGCATGATTTATGTGGTATTTCATTGGATAGATAAACTACAATTTATATAATCAATCCTACTACCATTTTTTATAACATTCTTTTTTTAAATTTTATTTTACTATGTTATGTTAATCAACATACATTACAGCATTAGTTTTTGATGTAGTGTTCCATGATTCATTGTTTGCGTGTAACATCCAGTGCTCCATTCAATACGTGACCTCTTTAATACCCATCACAGGCTAACCCATCCCCCCTCCCCTCTAGAACCCTCAGTTTCTTTCTCAGAGTCCATAGTCTCTCAGAAACATCGATTTTTGTACCATTACTATGGTTTGGATTTCCCTCCCTTTGAAACTTGAAAAGAGGTACATTTATTTATATTTATTATAAATGAGAAGACAATCCCTTT